GTCAGCTGAAAATGTGCACTTCCGGTTGGCCAACAGAACTCAAGCGCCGGCCATGGTGAGGGTGTGGCCCACACCATAACAGCCGATGGTCGCTCTCCGCTTGTATTGATCGACCGTGGCATCAGAATAAATGCCGAATATTATCGCGAAAATATTCTGGAGGGTGTATTAAAGCCTTGGACACGCAAACATTTTGGCCGCAGACGTTAGACATTCCAATAGCACTCAGCAAGTGCCACCCAAAAATGGTTACAAAATGAAGTTCCCCACTTCACTTCCAGCGCACAATGGCCACAAAAATCTCCGGATACCAATCCGTTGGACTATTGTGTCTGGAGTATTTTGGAAATCAAGGTTGGCACTAAAAACACCAAAGTGCCGATCACCTCACCGCTTCGACGGAAATGAGCCAAAGTACCGCAAAGCAACATTCTGGCAGCGTGCGACGGTTTCATTGGCCGTTTGAATGCCATAATTCGTACCAGAGGTGACCGATTCGAACAAATTTAAAGTTATTCTTAAGTTTGATGCTATTTCCGACATATTTTGCTTTCATTCAATAAAATTAATAAAATTTAAAAATTATGGCGTTTAGGGGCCATTTTACGATTGGTCCCTAATGTCAGTTCTGTTTTGACATTTTTCAACGTTCAAGCCATCCTTAATCACCAACAAAAAGAATATGATTTTTGATCAAAAATAATCATGAGTGGTGAGGCCCATTTCCATCTTGGCGGATGCGTTAATAAGCTAAATTTACGCTTCAGGGGTACTAAAAATCCGCGTATAACCCACGAAAGGCCATTAAACCCGTTCAAAGTCACTGTATGGTGTGCTGTTTTCGCTGGAGGAGTCATTGGCCCTTTTTCCTTCCAAGACGTTGCATTCCCAATGCTTACTGTGAATGGTGAGCGCTACAAAGCAATGATCAACAACTTCTTTTTGCCGCAACAGGACTGTGCAACGACACACACTACAAGTGCCACAATCGGTATGCTGAAGGATGCAATTCCTCGTTTTGGCGATTTGCACTAGCCAGCAAGATTGCCTGAAGTCGCGGGTTTATGTCAACAAACCTCAGACTTCAGATTTTAAAGACAATATCCGTCCAGAATGTGAGGACCCAGCGCCGGAAGTTTTGGTCAAAGTGATGGAAAATGCCATAAAAAGGGATCAACTGACAATAACTGTGGCGGCGGTCATTTACATCATTTTGTCGAAGATCAAATAAATAATCCACAAGTAGAATCAGTTTTTTTTTTTCAATTACAACCAAAAGAAACATCGGAAATTTACTTTTGCGCCACCTTGTACTAACAATTTAAATTAACTACTTTGGGAGAAAAAAAATCTCTCTACAAGGCTCTCATCTATGCCATGGGAAATTATTGGATTAATGGCTAAGAGAGTAGAAGAGCAGAAAGTTTCAATAGTTTTGAAATTATTCCATGGGATATTTCTTATTAATTTCAGTGGGTTTTCGGAATCTTAATTGCCAAACAAAATTACTATCTTAATGACCCCCCTCCATCCACCTAATTAGTATCAAGCATGCAACATCAATCAATCAAATCACCACATACATTGGAGAGAAAAACTCTCCAAAGCTTCAAGTATTTTCAAATTGAATTTTTATTTGGAATGCATTTCACAAGAAAATCAACGAATATATATTTTATAGAACATGAAATGTATCTAATTTCGAATTTGAATTGATTCTGAAAACAAGTTAAAAATTATCGGTTGCCATAAGCCATAAGCCAATGTTTGGTTATTTAAATATATTTTGGCTTCTATTATGATTATTCACATGGTTGAGCCTCTATGGAGTGGGTTCCGAAGGAATGGGCCAATATTGTCATATTCGTATGGAACCAAAATAAATATGATATAAATGTTGAGGCGTGCCAGGTTTGGACTACATCAACTACTTCCTTCACTTTACATGAGATGTAACTTTTAGAACTTGTTAAAAAAACAATCGACCGAAATATTTCATTTTCATACATTTTCAGATTAAAATATTGATAGGGGGAAAATTTGAAGTAAATCGAACATTTATATCCAATTTTATGCGAAATCATAAATTCCATATGCATCTCAGGTTTCTGGTTGAGAGAAATATTTTGATATAGGAATTTGTAAAGAATCGCTGACTTGTTTTGCAAGTTATGACAGATAAAAGTATTGTATTGAAAATTGTCATCCTTTGTGGGTGAGGGACCAGAAGGGCTTCACAGATATATGTACATTATCTTCACAATCTTTTATATTTGTAAGTGTGAAATTTGAAGAGAAGTTGGATACTTATTTCGCTATATTTGGGCATTTTGTTTTTCAAATCTTGAACCCTATGTGGGGGAGGGGGATACCAGAATATATGGTCCGATCTCTACCATCTTTACAACATATCTTGTGTTGATGGAAATATTAAGATGTGCCAAGTCTGAATGGAATCGAATGTTAATTTCGAGTTTTATGAGCTTCATGGACATTCAAAATTTTTACCCTTTGTGAGGGAGGACTCCTTCTGGTACCTCGATATATTCCATTTTCACATGAGACCTTGAGCTAATAAAGATATTGTGATGTGTGTAATTTATAGAAGAGAACCGGATGCTTATTTCGGATTTTACGATCGTTTTGGTTATTCAAATCTTTCACCCTTCATGGGGGAGTTACCAGAAGGAAAGGTCCGATCTCTACCATACTTACAACAGATCTTGGGTTGATAGAAATATGGAGATGTGCCATTGGAATCGGATGTTAATTTCGTGTTTTATGAGCTTCATGAATATACAAAATTTTGACCCTTTGTGTGAGATGTACCCGATGAAATGGACCGATATATCAAATTTTCACCGCATATTTTGTTTTAGAAAAAATAATGGGATGCGTGAAATATGAAGAGAACCGGATGTTTATTTCGGGTTTTATGCTCGTTTTGGTTATTCAAAATGTTGACCCTTTGTGGGCGAGTACCAGAAGAAAGGGTCCAATCTCTATCATCTTTATAACAGATCTTGCGTTAATAGAAATATTGAGATATGTCATGTCTAAATGGAATCGGATGATAATTTCGCGTTTTATGAACTTCATGGATATTTAAAATTTTGACCGATATATTCCATCTTCACACCAGACCTTGGGTTAATAAAAATATTGTGATCTGTGTAATTTGGACATAAAATGGACACTTACATCACATTTTATAAGAGTTATAATTATTCAAGATATTTACCTTTTGTGGGGGAGGTAGGAGGAGTGGACCGATACTGTCCATTTTCGCACCTGACCTATCACTGATGCAAATATTAGGATGTGTAAAGTTGAAGCAAAAGCGGATTATCCGTCTTCTTCGAAAATGTTGACATTTTGTGGGGGAGGTGCCTGAAGGACAGAACCGATATTGCTCATCTCCGAACTCGACCTACGTTTGACGATAATATTATGATGTACAAAGTTTCTATCTAAGGGTATAAAAAAATTTTAAGAGACAAAACTCGTGGAAATTCGCAAAAACTTGTGAATATTTTCAAGGAAGGCCTTGTAAAAATATATCTAAAGACGTGGGGAACCGTGTATCTTTAAGGAATATATGGCTAAAAATCATGGATTTTTTTTTGTTTTCGCCAAAAATTTCTTGGAATTGCAGATCTTTAAAAAAATATTTTTCAAGGACCTTTTGGCTTATATCTTATCTGTTTATAAATAGTGGGTTTTTAGGAAATGTTTTCTTTTTTAAGTAGTCATCCCTCCGTCTTTAAAGATGACCTTGTAAAAAATTAAGAAATTATTTCAAAGGACTTCTGATCGAATATCGTAGTTTTTAGGGAATTTCTAGCCAAAAATCTTGGATTTTTTTTTCGAAACATTAGTTAAAAACTTCCTGGCAAAGATTTTTGGAATATTTTTCATGTCGTCGCACTAAAAGCTTGATATTTTAACGATTTTTAAAAAAGATGACCTTGTTGTATACATATTTTACTCAGATTTTTAGAAGGTTTTTATCTACAAGATTTGAAAATTATGGAATTTTAAAAATATATACTTCAAAGGATGTAGGCAAACTAACTAATATTTTCGTTTAATATCTAATATTTTGATTAGTAAAAAATCAAAAGTTGAACTTTGATCTTGATAGAGGAAGGAGGTTTAAATCGAGAGGACGACTTCTTCAGGACCTTGTTTTAAAATATATCACCTATTCAGAGGTCTTATGGGAGTTGGTTTGCAGAAACACAACTGCAGAACATTTTCACAACTCTTTTATGAAGCCATGCAGAAATGGTTTCATTCCGGCAAACTTCGGTGAGACCATTTAATTTTGCGAATGCGTGTTGTGGCTGTAATTGTATGTGACATTAAACATGTATCTATCTATCTAGACATGCTATAAATTTCAATAAAATCGTAATGATGACATTTCCAACATTAATAGCGTAATAACATACAGATTTCATGTTTGACAGCTTTTATGATAACAACAAAAATATCAACAATCGATCTGCTATAGGTGTTTTTTTTATTGGAATTTAATTAATTTTGTTCACGCCTTATAACTTCATTAAGACGATGTTAATTGGGGATTTCTTTGGGTATTTTGCAAAAGATCTCGAGTACATACCTGTGTGTGCTGCGTACGCGGCCACCAAACTCAACTGAGAGAAACCAAACAAACAAACAGGTGGAGGAGACTCTTATGCTTGTTCAAAAATCGTTCAAACATGAACAGGTTAGATCGATATTGTGATTTAAGATTACTGCTCTCTCTCTCTCTCTGTCTCTGTGCAAATTCAATTGTGAAGAGTACTCTGTGCCAACAAAATGAATGCAAAGAGATAGAGAGATAACAACTTGCTTCTCTTTTGCAAAAAATTAAAAAAATCCCAGCAGCAGCCGAGATTTTTTCAAATATAAAACTATAGTAAGTCCAAACGTTGATGATCACTCAAAAACGGATAGTCGCGCCAACTAGACGTCGCGTTTTAAAGAAAGCAAAGAAAAATAGAGGAAATCATAAACGGTTAAATTATAAGTATTATTTTAAAAATAATATCAAGTGAACTAAATTAAAGAAAAGTGAAAAAAAAACTAATAAATAATTAAAGAGAAATTACCAATAAAAATCTATTAAAAATAAATTCAATTGTTAAACAATTGTCTGCGTATAATTTTATATATAAATAAAAATTAATTTAAATTTGAAAAAAAAACGTGCTAAATATTAAAAAACAAACAAACACAAAATGAATGTGGAGGATTTTAGAAAACATGGCAAAGACATGATCGATTACATTTGCAGCTATGCGGCAAATATTGAACAGCGCGATGTGGCGCCAACATTGGATCCTGGTTATTTGAAACAGTTGTTGCCAGGTAGGCTCGAAACAAAAGTGAAAATAAAAAAATATGAGAAAAAAATTAATAGTAGTAAAAGAAAATGCCAAAAATATTAAAAAAAAGAATTATCCTTAAAAATTATGAAAGAAAAGATTGTGATTTACCAAGACTTTCCTGTAACTCTCCGTTGATCTCAAGTGAAAAAGTCGTTTTATTTTCTGTTCCACTAAAATGGGAATTCTAATCTTAATCTACCTACAGAATTTCCATTTAGTGTTGTGACCTTACTCCTGTACAAAAACGAACTCAAATCCTTGAAAAACCGAAAAATACATTTTTTTTATAAAAAAAATATATTTTGTAGAATTTATCTAAAAAAGGAAATCAATCGTAAAATATACAAAAAAATGTTCTCAAGGACTACAATAATTTTATGCCATTTATACATAAAATCGCAAAAACAGGGACTTAGGATTGAAGATTTCCTTTTTATAAAATGCTAAAAATAAATAGAAAATATATCACAGCTGAAAGAATATATTTTCTACAAAAATGTATGAAAAAGTTTTTGGAAAGTTCCCAAGGACCACAACAATTGTATGTATCTGAATAAAAGAAGATTAAAGGATAAACATTGGTGAAAGGAACGACGAATTAATACAAATTAAAAAAAATCTTAAAATACGAAATGAAATCATTAATTTTTTTTTTATCGAATTATTGTGAAAAAAATATATCATTATTTTTTGATTGAATCCTTGCCAATTTTTTTTTTTTGCCATTTATGTATATACAATTTCAAAAACAGGGACTCAAGGGGTCGAGATTTTCTATTTAGAAAAAAACAATAAAAATAAACAGAAAAAATATCACAGCTGAAAGAATATGATTTCTACAAAAAAAAAACAAGTAAAAAGCACATAAGTTCGACCGGCCGAACTTTTTATACTCTCCACCATTTGGAAGGAACTTCAAATTTTTCATAAAAAATTCCGTCGAAAAATACCGCTCAAATGAAAACCTTTATATGGGGGCTATATGAAGAAGTGGTGCCGGATAAGTAATTTTTTGCCATAGGCTGTAGTAACAATTCTGAACTTCAAATACGAAATTCGAAACAATTCCGGTGAATAATAACATTGACATTAACGTCGAACTGCACAAACAATTTTCCGTCATAGATTGTAGTACCCAACCCGATCTTCAACTACGAAATTTGACACAATTCCGATGAATAATGTCGCGAATCCTGGAATATCCTGGAAATACCGAATATCTTGGGGTAGCTTTATATGGGTGCTATACTAAAACGTAGACCTATTTAGACAATTCTCTTCCAGGGGGTAAAGTACTCAGGGGGAACTCCTTGTATGGATTTTCAGACTATTCCATTGAAAAACGTGGCTCAAATCATCAAAATACCGAATATCGAGGGTAACGTTACATGAGGGCTATCCGATATAGCTCATCTTCGAACTTGACCTGCCTGCAGATAAAAGACAGATCGGTGCAAAATGTTAGCTTCCTATCTTTATTCGTTTGGACTCTAGCGTCATTGCAAAAGACGAACGGACGGACAGGGCTAAATCGTCTAGGATTTTACGCTGATCAAGAATATATATATTCTTTGTTGGGTCTACAATTATTATTTCGATGAGTTACAAACGGAATGACGAACTTAATACAACCTCCATACTATGTACGGTAGGCTGTGGTACCCTATGACCGAAAATTTCTCATGCATGTCTTCGTATAGCCTCCATATAACAGTACCTCCCTTTATTATTTTGACGATTTTAGGTACAAAATTGTTTGAAATTTCGTAGTTGAAGTTCTTAATGGGTACTACAGTCTGTGACAGAAAATTGCCCATGCAGGTCCAGGCCTTCGTACAAGCCCCATATATCAGTACCTCCCTATATTCGGTATTTTGATGATTTTAGCTATATTATTCACCGGATTTTTTCAAGTTTCGTGTTTGAATATTGTAATGGCCCATGACAAAAGTTGCCTATGCTGCTCCAAGTCTTCGTATAAAACCCAATATAACGGCTATATTCGTTATTTTTAAGATTTTAAGAGAATTTTTAACGAATTTTATTTTTTTGAAAATTTCCAAATGCTTTCAAAATGGTGGAGGATATTCTAAGAACTTACTGTTTTTATACCCTCCACCATAGTATGGAGGGTATATTAAGTTTGTCATTCCGTTTGTAACACCTCGAAATATACATTTTAGACCCCACAAAGTATATATATTCTTGATCAGCATAAAATTCTATGTCGATTTATCAATGTCCGTCCGTCTGTCCGTCTATCCGTCTGTCCGTCTGTGGAAATCACTCTAGCTTCCGAACGAAATGAAGTAGGTTGATAAAATTTTACTCAAATGTGTACTATGTCTGCAGGACTTTTGGTATTGAAATAGGTCCACGTCTTCGGATAGCTCCCATATAACTGTACCTCCCGATATTCGGTATTTTGATGATTTTAGCTACATTATTTACCGGAATTGTTTCAAATTTGGTATTTAAAGTTTTTAATAGATACTACAGCATAAAACAGAAAATGGGCAATGTAGGTCCACGTCTTCGTATAGCCCCCATGTAACGGTACCCCCCGATATTCGGTATTTTGATCATTTTAGCCACATTATTTACCGGAATTGCTTCAATTTTGGTATTTGAAGTTCATAATGGATACTACATCCTACGACAGAAAATAAGCCATGTAGGTCTACGTCTTCGTATAGCCCCCATATAACGGTACCCCCAATATTCAGTATTTTGATGATTTTAGCGACATTATTTACCGGAATGGTTTCAAATTTCGCATTTGAAGTTCGTGAAGTTTGATATAACAGCCTATGAAAAAAAATTTTCTGTGCAGATCCACGTTTTATAACCACCTTGGTACCTCCCTATATTCGAGGATTTTGACGATTTTATCTACATTGTAAACAGATTTTTTTCAAGTTTCGCATTTGAATATTGTGATATAAGTTGCCTTGTGACAAAAGTTGCATATGCAGGTCCACGTCGCCATATAGACTCTAATATACGGCTACATGATTTTAACAGAATTTTAAAATCCTTTTATTTTTTATTTTATTTATTTATTTATTTTTTTTTTTTGAAAATTGTTAAATTCGTACCAAATTGTGGAGGGTATTCAAAGTTCGGCCTGGCCGAACTTACAGCTTTTTTACTTGTTTTTACTTTTTTTTTTTTTTTGAGCATTTAATTTTCTAACTTTATCCAAAACTGCTTAATTATTGAATTTTTTCAAATAAGGTTTTTAGAAATGAACAAAAAATCTTCCTGGGTAGAGCTCCTGCTGATCACCCAAAAAAGGCATTCCAAATATGAACGATAAATTTGCTCTTCTATTTAGAAAAATACCAGGTAGAAAAAAATATTATATCAATCACCCTCCGAAAACAGTCCATTCAATTAGTCATAGGTTTCCAAACTCCAGGGAGTCTGATTTAAACGGCCTCTCTAGGACTTTTCTATTTTCACATCACGAAATTCGTAGCGGTCGCTATCAATTCAATATAGGTGTTATATACCACTTATTCCATGTATATAGTATTCTTGGATATGGAGAGTCTAAAAAACTTTTTTCTATAGTTAAAGGATGAAAGGAGTTTTAGGTTGGAATTAGGTCTCGTCATTTTTTTTTACGAAAAAGCAAGAAAAAAATATATTTACTTTAAGTTCTTTTTAATTAAATCCAAATATTATCCACACTATCAATCCCCCGCCAAAATGAAATTAGGTATGTAGGTCAACGATATCATTTTGCGTGTTACAATCAAATGTCTTCCATTCGATTGTTTGTCACCTGTCAGTGTCAAAACAAATTGTGAAATATTTACCCATTTTCATCTCTCTCTCTTGTTATATCAAATACAATTGTATTTTGCGTATATCCAACGCATCACTCAATTATAAATAGTATTTATCTCTCTTGGTCTCTGTCTCCCTCTCAAAATAAATGTAGTTCTCAAACTGTCAGATAATATAAATAATTCATATATTTGTCAAAAAGTCAATTGTTGTTTGTTTATGCAAAAACTACACATCAATATTTGGTTGCAACTAAATTGCGAACAATACTATGTGGGAAGAGAAGTTGCTGGAGGTTGGGATTGGGAACTAATAGTCAAAAATATATGAATTACTGCTGGGCGGAGAAAAAAATCACAAGACCTTATAGAGATTTATTTGTCACAAAAAGAAGGTCTAGATTTAAGTTATTCCTCACATACCCAAAAAAAGGAATTCTGATTCCCTGAAATAGAGAGGGAAATCCTCTTTATAAATGTTTATCCTGTAAATCTTAAATATCAACAAAATCAAATCAAATAAAAAAACCAAAAAACTTCTCCTCATGATAATCCAAAGGATGTAAGGACTAGCTACAACTGGAGACTTTATATCTAAATTGCTTCAATTTAAATAATTTGCACACATTTTAATAACAATAAAACTTAGTAAACAAATACCAACACTGTTTGCATCGAGCAAATAATTTACTGTTAAAATATCGACAACAAAATAGCTTCTACAACTATGAAATGCGCAAATTTTCACACTTAATAAAATTAATAGTTATCGAGTCATCAATTAGATATGAATTACTCAAATAACTTGATACGAAAAAAAAAAACGAACAACAACATAATTAATTTGCTGGAGAAAAAAAACAATCAATTAACAATGGAAAGAAAAACGAAAGGTGAAAAAGCACTTTCGCTAAATTGTGAAACTGAATTTTCAAGAATTTTGCCAAGAGATAGAAGACAAGAAAGTAAGTTCGGCCCGGCCGAACTCCACCATTTGAAACAAATTTGGAAATTAAAAAAAAATAAAATCCGTTAAAAATTCTGTTAAAATCTTAAAAATACCGAATAATCGCCCTTATATTGGTAACTTTTGTCACAAGCCATTACAATATTCAAATACGAAACTTGAAAAAAAAATCCGGTGAATAATGTAGCTAAAATCGTAAAAAATACCAAATATAGGGAT